GAGAATGGCAGACTCTCTATCGTGCACATAATAGATAAAGGAACATAATAACTATATTAGAAAATTGCATAAAATGCACTATGCAATGTAAACTTAATTCTCTACCTAGTTGTTTAGCCATTGAAAACAAGAAAACTGGATAATAATCTTGATCTCATACACCATGATTACATATTAAACCATTTAATTTAAGAATAGAGAGGAAAAGAATTCCTTTAATCAAAAGATTAAATAAGGGATAACCATTCCTTGACTCCAAAATCGGGAGGACTACTAATTTTTTCAGCACTATGGCAAGTGTTCCATACTCTTCCAACCTACAGACTAGTAAAGTGGTACTAAGTACTAACAATGAACCATGAAGTGCACTAACACATGAACTGGTTGACTGACAGCTATTGACGAAATGATATGATAAATTAAATACAAAGAAGAATATATACACCTTCCATACTCATCTACAAGCATGCCTTCCATTTCCCTGATAGGATCATCTACAGCACGCTCAGAACGAGATGGACGTCTAATGGATAAGCTAATGGTGGTATCATCATTTGAAACTCCAATCTCATCCATATAGCGCCGCAAAAGAGAGTCAGGTAAGATTTTCCGCTCAAGCCACAATCGTAAGACCTGGTGAATTCAATATACCAATTGACCAACAGCAGAATTTTTTATAGAATAAAGAAAAAAAGACACAAATGTAGCTTATTATAATAGAAGACAAACAAATGAGGTAAAAGATTTGCAACTTATTAGTAGCCAAAATAAATAAGCAATTCCCTGGCAGTTAGAGAAAAATTTAATTACTTTGAGACATTGACGACGATTTTCTCGTGCCCCAGCTCCAGGAGGAGCAGCAGCACCTAGAAGACGTGGCAGTGCTGCTTGCACTGTGGGGATGTATGAAGCACCAGCAATACCTGGATAGACAGGTCACATCAAGGAGCAAAAAGGTAATATCATACTTAAATAGGTATTTTTGATTGCCACAAGCATGCAGAATCAATAACCGGATATAATGCAAAAAACATTATTGACTAAAATTCTATTACAAAAAAAAAAATTACCATAAGAACATATTCTAAAGTATTCACTATTAGAAAAATAAAACCAACCTTTTTGATTATGTGAACATTGGGTGATTGAATCCACGAGAAAAAATAAGTCCACTTTACGATGAAAGCTAGGTTCAGTTTCCAGCTTTCGGATAAGAAGTTCCACAACCTGCAAACAATTATGCATACAAAATTATGAAAGCAATGCCACCAAACAAAAAAGATTTTGAATACATGCCATACAGCAATATTATAAAGAAGAAAGAGTAATTTACTTTAACATTTTAACAGCATACCTCTACTCTCTATTTCTCATGTTATCATACGTGTTCACAGATTTACAGGTATCAATTAAGGAGGACTTGAGATAAGAGCACAAACAAACATAGAAATTAATTAAAATATATGAATCTAGAAGCACAACTACGTCTTCGGCAATGACATCCTAGGCACAATAATAACTTGTAAACCATAACAGGAAACAGATGAATCTGACCTCAAAATTCTTAATATTCTTGTCATTTACATGTGATCCTCTTTACACTCAAATTATGCCTAGGAAAAATAATAATGATGCCAAAATAAACGGAGGACAGCGTTCTTGTTGCGCTGAAGTCAAGTCTTCCTAAAATCTTCCTAAATATGAAGTTTTGTCATCCACAATTAAGCCACTGAGGCTTTACCTCAGATATTTCCATCTAACTTACCTCATTGGCAATGCCATACTTGGCACAGTCAATGGCAAGACGAGTTGCACGTCCAATACTCTCTTTAGTCCTTGACAAAGTCTCTATCATTCCTTCAAAAGCATCCCTAGCAACTGCTGCCTCAGTACCACCACTGAGGGAACCTCCAAGAGTTCTGTGTCCCGAACTAACTCTTCTCTCCTCAATCTCTTCAGCATCTGCTTGATTTCCTGTGCTGATTGATGACCATAATTTGAATGGAGACGTTAAACTTGTGCGATACTGAAATCCTTGGGCATCAGCCTGTATCAAATTGCTGCTTGCAGACAAGAAAGGCTGAAAAGTAGAGGGGCTGGGACTCCCTCCATGGACTTCAGTCATGTTCGAATAACTGGAGTTCAAAAACCCAAGAGAAGAATGTTGAGAGTGAGCCTGTCTCCTTTTTGCCTGAGCAGCTGCAATAAGATGCTTCATAGACATAACAGAATCAGGGGTTTCTGGAATCAACCCAAACAAAACTACTTCTATCATCTCTACCAACCTCCCCTGTAATTAAGCACAGAAGTGAGGTATGAAAAGCATTCAATTATGCAGAAAAAGAATAACATAAATGCTACAGAGACAATCACAATAACATATACATTTCAGCAGACAGCTCTGCAGAAGTTTCTGCAAAGACACCACTATCATTAATTCGCGATGCTGCTTTTGGCGTGCTTTTTGGCCTTTCCCCTGAAGTTGTCTTATGTCTTTGGCTTCCCACATTATCAATGCCCAGGCTTGAACCCTTAACCGAACCAGCCTGAGCCTTCTTTTGTACGGCTGTAACAGAAACTTTTGCAGCAGGTTTAACAGCCTTCTGTTCTTCTGAAACTGGTTTGGCGGCTGAAACTGACCGAGGAGACTTCTTAGGAGATTTAAAGATTGGCTTCACTTCTTTGCCTGACAGCTGCTGAGGTTCTGGTTTCTCAGGACTAGGGAAGATATAACTAGAGGGCCTCTTTTCAACTGTCTGTAGCTGAAAGTATGATGCATGCTCACCATGCAACGGTAGAGGCGATTTCGTTAAACCAGCATTCTCTGGTCCAGTGGAATCCAAAACAGTCCTTGGATGATTAATAGTAACCTCATGACACTTAGTAGTGTCACTACCAGATGAAGATGCTTTCATATTAATTGCAGATCCTCCATGTATAGGAGTTTTGGGATCATCATCATCGTCAGAAAGGCAAACGGCCCTCCGTCTTTTGGTCAATTGAGTAATAGGAATCTTCATATTATTTGAGGATAACATATTGTTCGTGAACTCTGGACGAGTTTTTTCCATTTTGTCATCAGGAGCAGGAGCAGGAGCAGGAGCAGGAGCAGGAGCAGGAGCAGGTGCAGGAGCAGGAGAATCAGACATAGCCTCCAATGCCCGCCTACGTCGCTTTGTGTGGGGTAGTACAGTTTCATCACCAGAAGCATCGGATCCAGCAGTATCCATTTGCACTCCTAACAGTAAATGGTCTTCCTCTTTCACACGCATTGAGGACCTTTTAAGCTCATATTGTCTAGCTACCTTGCCATCAACATCAGAGCCGGGAGACTCACCCTTCAAGCTTTTGGCAACTTTCACATCTAAAAATTTTGACTTTTTAGAAGGCTGCAAAATCTCATCTGTCCCCAATTTAGGCTTTTTAAGTCCCGGCTGAGCCCTTTTTCTCCTGCTTGAAATCTCACCCTTAGAGGTGGCCATAGTGCCTTGTGTATCATCAGAGATCTTTGAACTTCTTTTGGCTTCCACCAGTTCTTTTGATTTTCTACCACCACTATGATCCAAATC